CGCAGTAGCACAAGGCTTCCTCGAAGAAATTATCTACCGACACGGATGTCCGGATATTATAATATCAGACAACGGAACGCAGTTCAAATCAGGAAACATGAAAAAAATAACCAAGGATCTAGGAATACAACACCGGTGGACGCCGGTATGGACTCCCCAATGCAACCCCGTAGAAAGAGCAAATCGTACGATTAAAACAATGATCTCCCAATACGTGGGAGAAGACCATAGAAACTGGGATGAGAATCTAAGCCAAATAAAATTTGCCTTTAATACAGCGCAAAACGAAGGCACAGGATATACGCCGGCATTCTTGAATAACGGTAGAGAGCTCGCGGGACCTTGCGAATTAGAACGCAAACAAAGGCCCGGTACGACATCAACAAATATTCACGAACAATTGAAGGACGCATACGAATTAGTAAAAGTTCATATGGCACGGGCGTTCCAAAAGCAAGAAAAAGCCTACAATTTGAGGAGAAGGGCCTGGAAACCGCATATCGGTGATATCGTATGGAAACGGGCGCATACATTATCCAACAAAGAGAAGGCTATCAACTCAAAACTAGCACCAAAGTACATCGGGCCGCTAACAGTGAAAAGAATTATTTCACCGGTAATTGTGGATCTAATCGACGAGAACAAAAAATGGTACAAACACATACATATACATGACCTCAAACCGAACAATAGCGATTAGACAACAAACAAGAATTAATCCCCTCCAACCAAAGAATCAAAGAGATCGGAGGAGGGAATTACAATATTAAAAGAGCAAGCCAAGCGTAGTCAGGACACTACAACGAGAGCCAGCAAATCAGCAGCACCGGAAGAAGCAGTCAAAAATGAAATTCAACAAGGAGTTGCAAAAATGGCTCGAAAATTGGAAACCGCCAAGGGAAGTGTTACCCGAGCAGCGGGAACACTATCCGAGTCGTCTATGGCCCGACACGATAAGGACAAGTACAACACAGTCAAAACAAATACATAAACAAGGCATCGCACCAAAGAACAAAGAACAACAGGGATATAAGAGACAGAACCACAATACAAAAGAACACTCGTCAGATTATCATGGACATAGACAAAGCGATCGAGGAGTTACTTACGACGTGGAACGAGGCAGAGGCCCAGGTGCTATGGGACTCGCTGACCAGAGCCGAGAACACAGAAGCACAAAACCAAGCAGCAGGGAGAAGGTTCCCACCAGGGAAAAGGCCACCGTCAGAAAAACCGGCAAAGCGAAAACCAGCAATCGCTTGCCTTAAGACTCCACCGACGGCCAGAGTGGCACAGAGAAAACTACAAGCACTAATATCGCAACAAACGGAGGAACGACCGGCAATACAAAAACGACGGCCGCACGTCAGGCCATACACGACGGCGACGCCACCAGCAGCCCAGGCACCACCTCGAGAGACCAGCGAAGTGCGGAGAGAATCGGAACAGAAAAGAAAACTACCAAAAATCATCGCAGACACGACGACAACGAACAGGATCCGCATAAAGACCCGCACTCCGCCGGCATACAGGATCCCGATTTCCAGAGGCAGGACAATCGACGTGCCATACCACGCGGCACACGTCACACACAAATATCGACAGTATGTGGACGGGGAGCTGTGGCGGGTCACATTTACAAAAGAAGAGAAATTAAAGATCGCTTATAGAGTAAAATAGATTAGGTTAAAATAGGTTACAAAATAGAGAATAAGGGGTGAAGG